GCCGATGCGGCTCGATGTAGGGCCCGATTTGCTTCAGGTCGACGTCGCCAATGCTTCGCCGACGTCGACGATGCATCGCCAGTGCATCGCCGATGCATCGCCGATACATCGCCGATGCATCGGCGATGCGGCTCGATCCTCCGACCCCATCTGCTCCGATCCCACCCAGGAGGCCTCTAAGCAACAAAAGGTTTCGGAGGTGGGCGCAGGTTCCGCGGATCGGCTGCTGGTGCCGCCCCTGGGGCGCGATCTGTCAGGCGATGTCTTTTTGTTTATGCCTTGTGTTGCCGGTCGGCGCGGGCCCCCCAAAAGCCGTCCCTCCTTCCCCCACGGAGTAGATCTTGGCTGTTTTTGGGCGCCTGTTTCGAGCGGGCGGAGTCTCCCCCTCAGGCCGCACTCTTGCAAACGGTCGCACTAAGCAGAGGTCTGGAGCCAGACCCCCCCCCTTGCCGCCCACTGTCGAAACGCTGAATAAAAAAAACTCACCAGCGCTGATCCCACACACCCGCGCGGAATCCGACATGTTCTTAGGGGGCGGGAGAAATACACAGACACCAAAATCGCCGCTCCCAGGAAATGTGGGGAAACATGGGAAATGGGGGGGAAGACGAAGGCGGCACACAGGGAGACAATGCGGGGTGGCGTCGAGTAGTGGTGATGGCTTCTTCGGGTGCAGGGTTTATGGGGATTGCGGAACAGCAGCGGTCAACAGCATTCGTTTTCCAAGCTTCCTTTCTCCGCGGGGGTGGGTATCCGTCACCATCCCGCCCACATAATGAGAGGCCTGGCCAACCTTTCCGACAGCCATCTATCAATCATCAATCAGAGCACGGTGTACCGCATATTGAGTGCAACAGGGACCAGTGCTCCAGAGTAGCCTCCAAGGGTGATTTCAATTGGATGTGTCAGGTGCGGCGCGGTTACACGGCACGTTTCCAGGCAATGAGTACCTAAAGCACCCCATCTAGAGGGTCAGCTTACTTGCGTTACACCTCACTGCCCAGAGTCGCCACGACGGTGGCTCAGCTTTTCATGTCCAGCTTTGCTTACGGTGCTGTTGTGTCGGAAGGACGTGCGCTGGCATTTGTTCGAGCGCTGCGTGCGGACACGTGTTCCGGCGCGCGATCTGTTATACGCGCAGACGCGGCAGTGCGTGGCCCGTGCTCGCCCACTAGGGCCATGGGCTCGACGACTGGTCGAAATACATGTGTTGGCGAGTGTTTGGGGCACCTCCCTCTGCCTCCAATTTTCCATTATATATATATATATATACATATGCAGAGTCATAGATTGTACATTTACACACATCTACACGTGATATCTCGCTCTCTCCTATATATATATATATATATATATATATGTGCAAGATTTGAAGGTTCGCCTCGCTTCCCCTCAAATCTTGGTCCTGCGCCCAGGCACTGTTGGGGGACTGCTGAAATGAAAGACTCCCTGGCAAGAATGCCATGGTCTTGCTTGTTCGTTGCCCTGGACTGCGTCTGTGGACGCATGGAGGCCCGATAGGCTGCCTTGTCCTGGCTTCGTGGGGCTTCTGGTCCGACGAAGGCATCTATACACCACCACCGTGCCAGGCCAGGGCCATCCTGGGCTCCAGGATGGTGTGTAGACCCTCTTGGCCTCGGCCAGGAGGGCGTATGACACCATCCTGGGGCCCAGGATGGCCCTGCCTTGGCACGGTGGTGGCATGTAGATGCCCTCTGCGAATCTGGTCCCTTTCCCCAGGCGTGCTTGGAGGGCTCTCCGAGGACTCGGGCCTCGAGACAGAGCCTGAACGGCGCCCAGGCGGTCCGCGGAGCGAGCTGCGGCCGCGCCTCGCCATCTGCGCACGTGCTGGGCTCGAGCGCGGGGCCGCGGACGGGGCTCTCTGTGGACGCAACGAGGGGTTCGTAGAGGCCTCCGCGAACGTCAGCCGACGGCCCGGGGAGGCTTACGCTGAGGCCGCGGAGCGAGCTGCGGCACCGCCTCGCTCCCGATTGCTCCCGACCATCCTGTGGTGTGCGGTTCTCGCTTCGGAGAGAGACGCGCCTCGCGTCTCATCTCCTCTCGTCTCCTCTCCTTCCTCCTGCCCTTCCTCCTCCTATCAGTGCCCCTTGCCCCCCGCACCCAGTACTGCGCTTCGTGGTCCCATAGGGAGCTCCACCAAAGGCCCCACTGGCACACGCACAAACACACACACATATATATATATATATATATACAAACACACACACCACACACAACCACCCACACACTCCACCCACACCAACACCCACACCCACACCCACACCCACACCCACACCCACACCCACCCACACGCGCACGCGCACGCGCGTGCACGCGCACGCTCACGCGCACACGCACACGAACACGCACACCCGCACCCACACACCCACACACCTACACACACCCACACACCCAGACACCCACACACCCAGACAACACACAACACACAACCCACAACCCACAACACACCACACACAAACACACACCAGTCAACACAATACACAACACACTGCCTACAACGCACAACACACATCGCACCACACACAACACGCAACACAAAACACACAACACACAAAATACACACACACACCGACCGCACACCACAACACACAACACAACACACAACACACAACACAATTCACACACAGCACACAGCACTCAGCACACAGCATGCATTGCACAGGCAACGTTCACATAGCACACACAACACACATCACACACCACACAACACAGCACACAACATACACACAACACACACACACACGTATAATCGCATACACGCACACATACATACATGCATACATACATGCATGCATGCATGCATACATACATACACACATACAGACATACATACATACACAACACACAACACAACGCACCCACAGCACAGCACGCACACCACAAACATTACACACAACGCAGAACACACACCACACAACACACACCACACAGCACACAACACACAGCACACAACACACCACACACAACACACCACACACACCACACAACACAACATAGTACACACACAGACACCACACACAGCACCACACACAACACCACACACAACACCACACACAACACCACACACAACACACACGCACGCACACCACACATCACACACAGCACAGACAACACACAACACACACACCACACACAACACACTCAACACACACACGCACAAACACACACACACTACACACAGCACACAACACACAACACACACACACGCACACAACACACAACAGACGCTACGCACAACACACACACACACACTCCTCTTTACGCCACCCTCAACACACGTAAAGACATTTATACAGACGTACATACATACTCTCACAAGCATGCATGTATACAACACAGCACACACGCTACGCACAGCACACTGCACACACACCACATTACACACAACGCGCAACGCATCACACACAATACACCACACACAGCACAGACCACAAACCACACAATACACAACACACAGCACACAAGACACACAACACGCAACGCATAACACACCACGCACATCACACACACAACACACGACACACACACACACAACACACGACACACACAACACACACAACACACAACACACACGCAGGCACAACACATAATCCACACACCATACATACAACGGACCCACAACACAGCAAACACACTACACGCACACAACACACAACACACAATCCACAACACACAACACACAACACACCACACGTATAACACACCTCACACATCACACAACACACACAACACACACAACACACACGCACTACACACAGCACACAACACACACAACATAACACAACCCAACACACGCACACACGACACACTCAACACACACACGCTCGCACACACAACACACAATTCACACAACACACAACACACAACACACAGCACACGCACACAACACGCAGTGCACACCACAGCACACAACGCACACACACAACACGCAACGCACACCACACCCAACATACAACCCACACAACACACATACATACATACACACATACACACATACACACATACACACATACACACATACATACATACATACATACATACATACATACACACGCACACAGACACATGTATGTACAATATTTGTTCTCTTTCGCGCGGGACAGCGGTCTCGTAGGCAAGTCCTGTTCGGCGCGTCTTCTTGGTGGCAGGGGCCTCTGGCCGGGCGGGGAGCCATCGGCAGTCGGTCTTCTCCTTCTTCTCCTGGACGGCGCGGGGCTGCCCGTTCGGAGGAGCAGGGCTCCCGGCCCGCCCGACACGCTGTGCTTCCGTACTCTGGACGCCCGAAATGGGCACGGAAAGAATGGGTACAAGGCCCTACAGCAGTTCTTGTTCACTTTGAGCAGGATCCGCTGTCCACGCCGCCGCGGCCTGCGTCCGTTCGAGACAGAAGGCCGCCTGCCCAACAGCGGCCGCTGTTGGTTTGGGACAACATTTGTTGTCGGGCAGTCCCCGCCGGCTCCCCGAGACGGGCGGAGATGGCGTCGGACCACCGAGCCCGAAGGCGGCGGGGCGCGTGCGGCGGCGCTGTGCTCGACGGCGTGCGCGGGTCCCTCCCTCGGAGGGCACGTCTCCTGGCGCGGTCCTGCAGGTGCGCTCGGGCTCGGCGCTCGAGGCGCCTCGCGCCGTGGCCACGACGGCGCCCCACGATGCCCAGCACTGCAGCAGAGGACATATATATATATATATATATATATATATATTGAGCTCTCGAGTCTCGACCTTCGGTCCTTCGGAGCGCTCGCGCCTCCGTCCTCGAGCCTCGATGCCCGATCCCGGCTGGCGACCCTCCGCCCTCGCTCCCCGCGGAGGCCCGAGCCGCGACCCTCGAGCCCCCGAGCCGCGCCTCGCCCCTCCCCCTCCCCTCCCCTCCCCTCCCTCCTCGCCCTCGCCCTCCCCTCCCCTCCCCTCCCGCCCATCCCCTCCCCTCGCCCTCGCCCTCGCCCGCGCCTCCCCCTCCTCCCCCCCCCTCCCGGGGCGAGGAGGAGCAGGCCTCGCTGCCGGCGCGCGTGGAGTGGTCCTCCGTGCCGCACGAGTTCTCGCCGCCGCTCCCGCCCGGCCCCGCGCCCGGGGCGGCCCGCGAGGCGCCGGAACGGGGAGGAGGAGGAGGAGGAGGCGGAGGAGGAGGAGGAGGAGGAGGAGGCGGAGGAGGAGGAGGAGGAGGAGGAGGCGGAGGAGGGAGAGGAGGAGGAGGAGGAGGAGGAGGCGCCGGAGCCCCGCGACTCTGCGCACCCCGTCATGCGCCGCTGCCGCAGCCACCGCCGCCTGCCGCTGCAGCCGTGGTCGCCGCGGCCCTCCCGGGTCCCTGCCGCTCGCGCCGCGGACGTTGCCGCCGCCGCCGCCGCTGCCGCCGCATCCCCTGCCGCCAGCGCCGATCGCGCGTCCGATTACGCTTTGCCTCCTCCTCCTCCTCCTCCCCCTCCTCCTCCCTCCTCCTCCTCCTCCCCCTCCTCCCTCCGGCCTCGGCCTCGGCCTCCTCCTCCTCCTCCTCCCCCTTCCTCCTCCCCCTCCCAGATTCCGAAGAGAAGGAGAGCGGCATAAACGTAAGTTTTCGAAGCTCCGAGAGGGCCTTGGAAAGTTGATGTTCATGCGGCTTCGCTTCCGTCATCATCGTATTATTTTCCTCGGCGGCGCTGCCGCCGCCGCTGCCGCCGCCGCCGACGCTGCCGCTGCTCTACTTCTCCAGACCTCAGGTTAGAACAGGTGGAGCCTGAGATATGTCCCCAAGTAGGCTTTGCCTACGGCGCTTTCGCACAGCAGATCTTGCCACGTCGAGAGCATCGCATGTATTGCGCACCGCATGTATTGCCCAAGACATGTTGCACAACACATATTGTAGGACGCAGATCGAACAACATTCTCTGGATGGGGCAATTCTGGCCCCCCTCTTGGATCTGCTGGGAGTTTGGGCACGTGCTGTCGGAACGGGTGGAGGAGGGGTTGGAGGAGGAGGAGGAAGAGAAGGAGGCGGGGGAGAAGGCAGAGTAGGGGAAGGAGGAGGAGGACGAGGTGGAGGAAGGGGGGGATGGGAAAGCTCCGTCGGAAGGTCGGTCGCCCTCCCCTCGATTAATATCCCACCCAGAGTATATTGCACAACGTAGATTGCACATCATATCTACTAGATGGTAGAAACACACTGATTGGATATGTGTATATATAGATGTACATATGTATACTGCCCTCCCCCTCTCTACCTCGATCTGTCTCTGTGTGGAACCTTTCAGGGAATTCTTCCTTCCTCTCTCCCTCTTTCCACCCCGATCCTCTTCTTCCCTCCCCCTCGGTTCCTTTTTAATGCCGCTTCCTGCGCAGTTTCCTCGCGTTCCCTGGTGGGGGCGGGAGGGCGGGGCCAGTAACGGGCGCTATCGCGGGTAATGAAGACATGTGTTTCAGGCCGTGGGGGGATGGGCTCCAGGTCGTGGGGACAAGGGGGAGGAAGGAGGAGGACGGAGGAAGGGAATGCAGAATGTGGAGGAGGAGGGGGAGGAGGAGGATGAGGCGGAGGAGGAGAGGAGGAACAAGTGTTAGAACATGGCCATGCGATTGCGTGAGCAATGTGGTTTGGGAATGTCAGACGTGCATGTTCGTGCTGGGCAGCAACTGTTTGATGCAAGTGTTCTTTGCGCTCACGTGTAGTACCTGTTTTCATAGTAGTGGAGTCAGTGATTCGCCCCGCGGGTTCCAGCTGTACCGATAGCAACCTCGGCCGCCTCAACGACCCAGGTGGACCGTGGCAACCACGATCTGGAATACCGCGTGACGTCACTTGATGTCCGAAAGGCATGGTGCAACCTGAGCACGAACGGGTTCTGTTATCACGGCCCTGCGGGCCCATCACGAAGGGATAATATTGTTCTTCGAGCGCAGCGCCAAATTGGGCACCAGGACGGCTGACGACGATGAGGCGTTCCCGACGTTACAGGTGAGCTACTGAATGCACGTCCTTCTGACTTCGGTCATCTGCTGCAACAAATACCGCGAGGAACAGTTCAACGACATGAATGAACACATGCAGGCACAATTCTAACGTCAAGCGATCGCCTCAGAGCATGCGACGAAGAGCGCCGCAGCTATACAGCCCGACGGAAGGACGAGGGCTGGAAGGGGTGGAAACAAACAACTCCACTGAGGCCGTTCAAAAGTTGAATATGCTATCGGGTGACGTGACCAAACTCAATGAGTGGAGCGAGGACTTGCTGAGCGTGCTCGCCCACGTCGCCCAGTTAAAGCACAGTTATCGGAAACACCTACAACATGAACAACATTGAAACCATGGGTAGTGGCGTTGCCCGATAACTAAGAGGACGACTTGATAACAAGTTTGAGCGGAAGGTCCATCATGAGTGAATACATACACTATATAGCGTAACCAACAAAAGAGAAAAAGACAACGCCACATGTTATTACAAACGCGATGATGACGATTATGCTACGTTGCGCGAGGATTTGTTTGTCAAATGACACATTAGCCCGATCCACGGGGCAGCTCTATGGTTTGCCCGGAGGGGGATCGGTTATTCATGGCCCACCAAAGCCATATGAACATACATTGTTGTATACGTATGTGTGTATGTATTTTATGTATCAGCACATGTATTCATTTATATATATATATGTAGATATAAATGATTGTTATATACAACAATGTCGTCGGTGGTTACACGAGGCGCATTGTAACACTCTAGGCCTCCCAGATGGGGTCGGAGCGGATGGGGTCGGAGGATCGCGCCGAATCGCCGATGCATCGCCGATGCGGCTCGATGTGGAGCCCGTGTTTCCCCACGCTGGCGTCGCCGATGCATCGCTGACGTCGCCGATGCATCGCTGGTGCATCGGCGATGCATTGGCGATGCATCGCCGATGTATCGCCGATGCGGCGCGACCCTCCGACCCCATCTACTCGGACCCCATCTAGGCGGCCTCTAAACACAGAATGAGCCTGGCCATGCATCCATTAAACAGTTTCAGATGCAAACGACGTGGCGACACAACTGGAACAGTGGAGTGCGCTCGCAGAGTATCTAACTACAGGAGTGCATGCTCATTGCCTTCACCGTTCAGGGTCACTGATTTTGGGGCCATCATGGCCCACGTAGGTGATGGGTTTGACGAGTGGCTGCAGGACAGATCTTACACGACAGCATCTTTCACCACTGGCACCCACCAGTAACCCATCCTCTGCGGGAAAGAAGTCCGTAATTGTATTAATAGACTTGCTGCCTACGCCAAAAAAAGCAAGGACTCCATGGGCATTGGCCGCGTCAACGATGCAGATGATGGGGGCTGTGGCAAGAACGAGAACCGGTCCGGTTTTTATGGCGAATCTGCAATTTGGTGGATTTGGAATTGGGAAGACGCGAGTGAGGATGGCGACGCGGAGGAAGGTACAAAGGCAAGGAAAAAAAGGGCCATGTGTTATACGCGTGAAGGACATGGACGCACCGCCGCAGACTGCGCCTCGAAAGGAAACGCCAGTGGGCAAGGAGGTGGACGAGGGAAATGCGAAGGTGCCAAAGTTTGCCAAGAATCACAGTCACGGGTGCACAGGGGAGGGCAAAGGGGCGGCAAGGGTCACCCTGGGGGGCTGCGTCACAGGAGCTTGCAAAGGGTATCCCTCAGGAGTTTGCCACGGGAACCAAGCCGCAAGATGGAATGGGGGGGTTAGGTGGGATTTGCGTCGATCGGCGGGGGGGGGCGTTAGAACTTCGGCGAGAATGGCCACGTCGCAGCGCGCTGCCTCAGGGGCGCCAGCGAGACCACCCCGGGTCGAGGGGCGGCAGGGGGCACGGGTGGGGGCCGCAAATATAGGGGCAGCCCCTACAGGGGCCAGGATGCCACGGCGTCGGGGTGGGCGAGACTATGGACGCGGGTGGAGGCGCGAGCCACGTCGCAGCGCCGGAGCCGCTTAAAGGAGCATAGGAATGGATGGTGCAGTTCCAGGGCGCAGAGAGGAGGAACAGGGGGGCGAAGTTGGGGGGATCCAGATGGGGCGCCCGCCACAGGAGGGCAGCGCCAGGCGCAGCCAAGGCGCCAACTGGGGTAACCGAGTCGCAGGGAGCCTCAAATTCTAGAACAGCTCAATGCGCAAATGCGCCAGAACGTAGCGGGTGGAAACGAATGGGCCCGACATGGAAGTTATCGGCGAACCAGTATCAGAGGGGCCAGGAGAGGGGCGCGACGAAGATGGTCGTTGCCGTAGATTGCGGAGCCCCACATCGCGATTGGCATTTCGAGCGAAGGGGCCCGCTTCACCTCGGCACGAGCGAACGACGTGAGCACGGAAAGACCAGGGTGCGATGCCCCACAGCAGTTCCCGCGCATTTTGAAAATGTACTCACTGTCCGCGCCGCCGCGGCCTGCGTCTATTTGAGACAGAAGGCCGCCTGCCCAACAGCGGCCGATGTTGGTGTGGGACAGCATTTGTTGTCGGACCTTGTGCCCGCTGTTCCGCGACAATTTCTGGCGCCCAAATCGCCGTTGCGCCCGCGGGGGCCCCCGGGGGCGGCAGGCAGCGCAGCGCAGACAGCGGGTCAGTCATTAGGAACCATGGGGAACGAATTATTGTGGGAAAGCAGAGGGGTCTGCAGCGAGCGTGCCCGCGCAGGTAGCCGACGCCGGAAAGGCAGCCGGGTCTGCGCGCGACGTTGTCGGAGCGGGAGGTCGAATAGTTTTGGGCCGAGTCAAGCGTGGGCGACCCCGTTGTTGCCTTGAGCGCGAAGCAGCGCGGCGAGGGACGGCGCTCCAGGAAAAGGGCGGCAAGTTCCAATTCACCATCCGAGGCCCGAATGGAGCTTCGCGTCGAGAGGGGGCGTGAACGGAGGAGAGGGTTAGAGGAGAGAGAGAGAGAGAGAGAGAAAGAAAAAGAGAGAGAGAGAGAGGGAGAGAAGGAAGAGAGAAAGAGACAGAGAGAGAGAGAGAGAGAAAACAAAAACATGAGAGAAAGAGAGGGAGAGAGAGAGAGAGAGGGAGAGAGAGAGAGAGAGAAAGAGAGTTTGGAGTCTTCCCAGGTGGGGAACTGTCATGGCGGACCTCCTCCACATGGTCCAGCTGAGCCTATTGGCCCCAATCATAAATCGCGCCAGCGCGCATGTGGAGGGCGACCAGGTTGGCGGGGGGCGGGGGCGGGGGCTGTGAGTTTAGTGACGTCTTGGGTGTGATTCTAGGAGGCGATGCCGGAGCGCCCAGGGGGGCCGCGCGCGACTCGCGGCCGAGCAGAGAGGAAGTCGAATTACATTGCGACGCGCATCTGCCACGTCGGAGTTCGCGCTTCCGCCCCGTTAGGGGGGTGGGCCAGGAAAAGGGGCGCTCGAACGCGGCGTGGGATCAAGGAGACAGGGCGCGCCTGTGTTTTCAATCATCTACACGTGGTGAGCAACCCCATTGGAGTTATGCTTTGCCTGGGTGCCGCGTTAACCTAGGGCCGCGCATTGCTTGGGAAGGGAAAGGGGTCCGTACTCAATCGGACCAGTCCGACACGTGATGTCGGGCTCCACCAGCCGTGAGACGCCAATCCTCAAATGCGGTGGTGAGTCAGTCATCGCGACGCGCGCGGAGGCCGCAAAGTTTCGCGTGACTTAGACTTAGGGCGTTCGCGATACTTAGAACCATAACAGGTCAAATCCAGAGGTCGGAGGTTGCTTCTGGCGACAAGTGCAAAGCTGAGTTCGGGGAGGAGCAATCGCCCGCACCTTGGTTGGTTGCCTGCGCGCATTCCCTCATCGACGAATTCGCCATTGATGCGGAAGGGAAAACGGCACGTGAGGGGCGCCGAGGGCGTGAGTTCAACGCGCCGCTGCCCGAGCGTGGGGAATCCGCCGCGCGCCTGGACAATCTTCCTGAAAGCGGAAGCAGCGACCTCGAGCAAGACTGGAGGGCGGGAGGGAGGGGGGGGTCCTGTTCCAAGTCCCCCCCCGTTCCAAGCGACCACAGAACGCGCGCTTTCTGACCGTGGCAACTGGATCCCAGCGCTGTTGGAGCCGACGTCAAAGCCAGGGCGGCATCGCCCATGGTGGTTCTTAGCCGGGGCTCGACTGCTGATGCCAGGCCGTTCGTGGCCCGGCGGGTTGCTGCAGAGGCTTGCGTTGCCATGGGGTCGGCGCCCAGGCGTCAGATGGCGCGCGCGCCGCATTGCCCGGAATGTCGTGCAAGAGCTCCCGGGAACGAGCGGCGAGACGATCCGGGCGCCGGCGAGGGCGGGGCCCGTCAGCGCCGGGCAGGGCGAGGGCAGGGAAGACGCATGGATCGGCAATTCGGCATTGGAAGACGGGCTAACTCGACGGCGCCGTGATATCAGAACAAAAATATGCGTCTGGGGCCTACAGGCTGAGGCGCGAGACCCGTCTGAGGCTGAGCAGTGAGAGACGAGCGTATGTCATCTGTCAGAACACAGGTGAGATGGGTGACGTGGCCGACAATGGGTAGCATTCAGGTGGGAGGGGGGCTGCGAGGACCTTGGACAGGATGGACTGAGTTCCGCGTTGTCCTTGGAAGTGGTGACGACGCGCGACCAGCCAGCGTTTTTCCACCGACGTCGGCGGCGGTCGAAGGCAGGGCGTAGGAAGCCGGCGATGATGAGATGGTCACAGAAGGTAGACAGGAACAACACGAGGATGAGGAGGTACTGCATGTGTGTCTTGACATCGAGGGTGGCACTTGGCCGGGCGGCGAGACCATGGGCGCAAGTGAGCCCGGGCATGCGTGCGAAGAGCAGGATCGCTTGAGCACGGGTGAAGTACGCATTGTTTCGGGTTTGATAAAAAAAAGGGTTTGACCTCGCGGTTGCACAGCGCCGATTCGGATGTTTTAAAACAGCCCATCCAATCATAAGGACCGTGAAATTACGCGGCAAGGGCCATCACGGTGCGCAGCCGCACGTTCCCTTGGCGCCCTCGGCGCTGCGGGTTGCCAGCGCGTCGGTGCCGCACGTTCCCTTGGCGCCCTCGGCGCTGCGGGTTGCCAGCACGGCGGTGTACATCGGATTCGCACCAGGGTTGCCGATGTAATCGTTGTGCATCCTTGGGGGGGGTCCCCCTCGAAGGTTGTTCAGCTTGGCCGGCCGGCGGAGGGTCTTATGTTCTGAGAAAGGTCGGGTGTTGCTAGAAGTTCCTTTGGGTGTTGCTAGAAGTTCCCCTGGGCCAAGGTTGCCCCAGGGTTTCCAAGGAGGCCCCGCACGGCCTCCTGAGGAATGGTCACGAGACCCAGAGGGCCGCAGGGGCTCCAAAATAAAACGAAAAACTACGGGCACCTTGGGCCATGGGGCACCTTTCGCAAACTCCGAGAAGGACGCTCTTGTGGCCCAGGTCTGGCCGAAGTTTGGTCAGGTTGGCCAGCGGGGGGTCTCATGCAGTGGCAACCCATGCCAAGAAACACCTTGCTTGCCTTCAGGGTGCCCTGGGTTTCTTGGGCTGCAGCGGGTTTGTTGCAAAGCCATGGGCGCCTTGGGGCCTCAGGGCTGGTCCTCTTCTGGGAGGTCTCTTGTGGTCGAGGCCCCCACTGCGTTCTTGGAATCTGCTCTTCTGGCCCAGGTCTGGCCCTGACTGCCGTTCCCCCGGCGTGCGCGCGCTGCGCCGACGTCGGGTTCGGGCGCCGCGCCCGCCGCGAGGCCTGGGTGCCGCGCACGCCCGGGCCGGCGCTGCCGCAAGGACGGGCCCGCGGTGTGCGGGCCCCTTGCGCCTATGATTCGAGTAAGGGCGAGGCGTCCTGGCGTGCCTATGGGCCCACCCACCAGGCAATGTTCTCAGCGCTTTCTTTGGGGTTTCGACGACATGTTTCTGGAGCGATTCTGGCTGGGTGCTGTGTCTTGATTTCGGGCAGCGGCTGTTTTATGTTCTAGAATACTGTGTATTGTTAGGGGGGTTCTAAGAACATGTCGTAGCATTCCAATAGGAATACCAGGACAGTCGGTCCCTGCTCAAAAGACGTGGCATCGCTCGGACGTGTGCTTTTTTCTCGACGAAGGCGGGTGCCAAATAATCTAGGCTTCAGAAGGGGGAATGGTACTCATACCGCTACCCTTAAGTCGGGCACGTCCCCCTACAGGAGGAATCTTCCAAAATAGTCAAACAATAGCGTGGGACGATTTTGTTGAGTATTTTGAATATGTTTGATTTTTTTCTTACATGTTTTACTTTTCGTCCTAGATTCGCCTGTAGTGGGACATGCCCGACCTAACGCTACACTTCGACCGTGTGCCCCCTCCTGAGGCTCTGGGGAGGCCTTCGTCGCCCGCGGGATTCGCCTCCAAATCCTCGGCAGAGGGCGCCGGGGAGAGGTCAGGGGAGTGGCGGTATCGGTACCGCTTGGTCTCCCCAAGAGGATTTGGACCCGTGGGCCACGCCCTGGGCCGCGCGACACCGCCGATACGGTTTTTTTCTGTGCGCGGATGCCCCGCGCGGAGCGTATTACTTGTGCGACCGCGCGTCCGCGGGATCGCGCGCCCCCGCGTTCATACCGCGAGGGCGTGGATTTGGAGACGCTCGCCGCTCAAGACTCCAGGCGTGTCAGCTGCTTCGCACCGGGCGATCTTGCTCCAGTTTCTCGGGCCGGGCGAAAGGGGGGGATTGGGAAAGGGGGGGTTACGAAATTTGCTGCATGCAGCTGGTTTCGGCCTCACCGAGGGGCCCATTCCTCGATACATAGCCGCCTCCTGCGCCTGGAGGCGCCGGGAAAATCAGCTACGTGAGCTGATTCTCAAACCCTCCCTTTGCTATCCCCCCCTTTCGCCCGACCCGAGCTTCGGCTCCGGGGGCATCACAGATCGATACGGATCGAACCGTGCCGCAGACTGACGGGGTCTGGGGCTCCTCGTGGCGATGCTTCGACGTGCTCCAATGTTTGTCGCGGCGTCGGCTCTCAAGGAGCACGGCGGGTATCCGTGGCCCCCCCGTGGCCCCGCGGGACCGGTAAAGAGCCGGTGGGGATGAAGAAGGTGCCAAGGAGTTCGGAGTTGTGGGGGACCTTTTGTTCAACATGATGATGATGCTGATGATGGTGATGATGATGATGATGATGATGATGATGATGATGGTGATGATGATGATCATGATCATGATCATGATCATGATCATGATCATGATGATGATGATGATGATGATGATCATGATGATGATGATGATGATGATGATGATGATGATGATGATGATGATGGTGATGATGATGATGATGATGATGATGATGAGAGGGAGGAGGAGGAGGAAGAGGAGGAGGAGGAGGAGGAGGAGTACCCGAAGGAGGTGTTCAGCAGCACGGCGTCGGAGGTGATTGTGTCCGATCGGGGGAGGTCTATCTAGTCGAGGCAACGGCGGCCCGTCCTGGCCTTCCGTGTGTTCTGCAGTCTCGTCTCTTGCGGGGCCTTCCTTGGAGGCTTCTCGTCGTCGCGGCTGGATCCCCAGGGAGACTCCTGGAGGCTTCTCGTCGTCGCGGGAGGCTCCCCCGAGGGACTTCTGTAAAACGACGCGAAGATCGGGACAATATCGGATCGGGATAACTCGAAATCTCTGAGGATCGGCAGGTTTGGAGGATGTACTGGGCGCCGCGGCCGCTCCAGAGCGCTCCGGAACGCTCTGCCAGCGCTCTGAGAACGCTCTGGAGCGATTTATCCCGATCTCCGCCCTGTTTTAGGCTGGGTCCCCCGAGAGACGTCTGAGCGACACAAAAAATAAGTCACGGGGTCGTCTGCGCCGACATCGGCGCGCACGCTGCCCTCGCAAGGTCGCGCGTGGGCGCCCTCGCTTGCAGCGTAGCGGAGCGCGCTGGCGGCCCGCGTAAGCCGCCGCGTAAGGTTCAGGAGGGAAAAAAACACACAGACACAACTAATCGTCGATCCCCAGGAAAATATGGGAAAATATGGGAAGTGGGGGGGAAGACAAAAACCCAGAAAATATAGGAACATATGGGGAATATGTTTATTTGTGTGTATTTATTTGTGTGTCCTGGGGCCCCTTCAAAGGTCGCTGCGTCATCTCGCGCAAGACCCGTGTTTGATCCGCTCAACTCCCCCGCAGTTGGTGCCGCCAAACGTCGTTGTTGGGCCCCCGTTTACAACAACAGCGGCTCCCGCCTGATACTTTCTCACAGTGTATTTCCAGATCGCGCTCTCGTGCGGGATTTCCGCACAGTGTATAGGGGAACCGCGCTCTCGTGTGGGACTTCCTGGCGCTTGATTCAGGCGCCATGCGCTCGACACTCAGGAGTCACGCTCTCGCTGTGGATTTCCTCACGATTCATTTGGGAATCGCGCTATCACTCGAGACTTGCTCGCGATTCATGCAGCATGCACGCTTCAGCAACCCGCCAGCCCTTTGTCCCTTTCTTTCCTCCGTCCTCTCTTCCCTTGCCTCAGGGGCTGCACGGAATACACGTTGCAAGCAATGAAGGTATACCCCTAAGGGGGCACGATCGAAGACGAAGAGGGCGCGCATCGAGGGTTTAGGATATACGTGTCGAATCGCGCGCGAGCAGATAAAGAGCGAACAGTCTCGAACTGATTGTGGTTACCTGTGGTTGTTGTCGTCCGCGTCCTTGTTGTTGTTGTTGTTGCTTTTTGTGTTGTTGTTTATATTTTTGTTATTATTGAATAACTATTATAACGAATAAATAATTCGTGTTGACCCGCCCCTTGCGATAACAATTGTATTGTTGAATTGAAGTTCGTCCTCGGGGCTCGCATTTTTTCCTTACATTATAATAGGGGTTTTAGAACAGGGAGAACTTGGTGCCACCAAACTTGCTTACTGGGCCCCGATCTATAGCAACAGCGGCTCCCGCCTGACACTTCCTCACAAAGTGATCCAACATCTCGCTCTCGCGCGGGACTTCCTCACGATGTGTGCAGGAATCGCGTTCTTGCTTGGGACGTCCTCGCAATTCATTTAGGCGCCGCGCCCTCGACACCCAGGAATCACGCTCTCGCTCTGGCCTTTCTCACGATTTATTTGGGAATGGCGTTGTCGCTCGAGCTCTCCTGGCGATTCATGCAGTATTCACGCTTCAGCAACACGCCTTCCCGACCCGCCCGTTTGGGTCTACCCGTCCGATGGGCCCGTCTGGTTCTGCCACGTGTTTTCTGCTCCTAGCCCCCTCCTGCTAATCCCGTGTTCCATTCTTCTCCCTCTCCCTTCCATCCGTTTTTGTCTTCCTGTGTTTCAGGGCCTGCAGCAATTGCACGCGGCAGGTAAGGAAGCTATACAACCAAAGGGGTACGATCGAAGACGAACAGGGCGGGTACCGAGGGTTGGGGTTAATAATACGTGTTGAATGGCACGCGAGCAGGTAATAGCGAACAGCCCTGGAATTATTATTGTTTGTTGTTGTTGGTGTCGTTGTTGAACTCTCACCACTGAATACTCCCAGAATTTGGTTATTGGCCCCGGGTTTACAACAACAGCGGTTCTCGCCTACCACTGCCTCACAATGTACTCCTTAATCGCACTCTTGTGCTGGACTTCCTCACGATATATACAGAAATCGTGCTCTCGTGCGGGACTTCCTCACATGCTATGCAGAAATCGCGCTCCCGCGTGGTTTCTCACAATTTGTTCAGACGCCGCGCCCTCGACACTCAGGAATCGCGCTCTCGTTGTGGATTTCCTCACGGTTTAGTTGGTAATCGCGCTGTCGCTTGAGATTGCCTTGCGATTCATGCAGGACACACGCTTCAGCAACCCGCCTGCTCGACTTGGCCGCCTGGGGCCGCCTTCCCGACCTGCCCGTCAGGGTCCACCCGCCCGATCTGCCCGTCTGGTTCTGCCACGTGTTTTCTGCTCCGAGCCACCCTCCTGCTATTCTCTCTCGTGCTCCATCCTCCTCCTTACCCCTGTGTCCCTTCCGTCCATCCGTCCTCTCTTCCCTTGCGGTAGGGCTGCATGAAGTACACGATGCAGGTAAGACATATGTACCCCCAAGGGATACGATCGAAGACGAAGAGGGCGGGCATCGAGGGTTTGGGATTTACGTGTTTAGTGGCACGCGTGCAGATAAAAAGGCGAGCAGTCTTAAATAATTCTTCACGCTTCGCGTATCCCCACCAGCCCATCTCAAAACAGCAACTCTTGCGAAGCATGCCGACAGTCGTGTTTTTCAGGCGTGTTTCCGCCTGCCCCCGCATATCTCCGGGCCTCTCGTCCTGGTGTGAGTCGTTCGGGCCCTTCTTCCTGGTGTGAGTCGTTCGGGCTCTTCGTCGTGGTTTGAGTCGTTCGGGCTCTTCGTCCTGGCGTGAGTCGTTCGGGCTTCTCGTGGTGTGAGTTGTTCGGGCCCTTCGTCCTGGTGTGAGTCGTTCGGGCTCCTCCTCCTGGTGTGAGTCGTTCGGGCTCCTCGTGGTGTGAGTCGTTCGGGGCCCTCGTCCTGGTGTGAGTCGTTCGGGCTCCTCGTGGTGTGAGTCGTTCGGGCGCCTCGTCCTGGTGTGAGTCGTTCGGGCCCCTCCTCCTGGTGTGAGTCGTTCGGGCTCTTCGTGGTGTGAGTCGTTCGGGCCCCTCGTCCTGGTGTGAGTCGTTCGGGCCCCTCGTGGGGCCTCTTGGGGGCCTCTTGGGGTCTCTTGGGGGCCTCTTGGGGGCCTCTTGGGGGCCTCTTGGGGGCCTCTTGGGGCCTCTTGGGGCCTCTTGGGGGCCTCTTGGGGGCCTCTTGGGGGCCTCTTGGGGTCTCTTGG